CTCACCAAAATCAGTGAACCTTTTTCTTGGAAGATGTCCAAACTCAGCATATTCTCTACCTTCATCAATGCGATGAAGCTGTAGGACAAGAGGTCGTCGAGTAACAATGCCTGCATATTTTGCAAAAAAATAATCATGATATCTTCAACTATTCATGTAACATTAAAAAAATAAAATGTAACCAGAAAAAGAATGGACAGCAGCCAAAATATTGAGATAACTAGTTACCAGATCCACGAGGCAAAAAGTCCTTTCCAACAATGCTCTCGAGAACTGATGATTTTCCGGAACTCTACAAACCAAATAACAATAAAATCAGTTTCCACAAAATGTTAAATGACTTGTCAAAGGCATCTTTCAAAAGCAAACAGTTATTATTATCAAGAGCAAAGACGTTCAAAGAGATCATAAGTACAGTGATCTACATTAATATTCATATTTCACTCAAGAGCAAAGACGTTCAAAGAGATCATAAGTACAGTGATCTACATTAATATTCATATTCCACAATGCACCCAATGAGGTTTCAAATAGGAAAAAACCCATGGAAAGCACACCATAAAATCAATTCTACGTGCCCTTATTTTTTTATTTTTTTTGATAAGATTTCTACATGCCCTTATCATCCTATCGATATCAAATGTGAAATAATTTTGCACTCTCAGAGGGCACTTTATTTGCATCTAAAAATAATCCTCTACAAATTAAAATACTGTAACTTTTGTATGAGCTTGAAGTCCTAAAAAAAACTCACATAAGCATGCATCAAAATCAAAAAATTAGTGGATAAAAAAAAATTTAATTTAAAAAAAAAACCTTAAATTAAAGGCTACCTAGTAACAACTTCAGGAAAATAATATATTGAATACAACAAGAAAAGAAAACAAGTGTCGATTGAAAAGATCTACATATACTACAACTACGACGACCAGAAAGAAGAAAAATGAAAAAAAAATATTAGCTCGTACAAATCAATATAACAACATACATAACTTTTGTTTTTTGGAAATGGGATAACATTTACAGAAATGAACCTAAGAAATTAATCAAATTCCCAAACCTGACCACCGACGACAGCTATAGATGGCAGCGCATCCCAGAGAGTAGGCAACGCGTTATCTTCTCCATTATCTCCGAGTGCAGTGCAAGCTCTCTGAAGTCTGTTCACCAAAGATATCAAACTTTCCATTACTGTTCCCTTTTTGAATCAACACGGAGTCAAAAATGAGCGAGTTGACTCAGAGATCGTGAATCCACCAACTGTAATTCGATATCCTTGAATATATGGGAATTGATCGAGAGAATCTAGAGAGAGAAAGTATGTTGGTGTTGTTGCAGGGTAGCGATTGAATCGGAAAGAAGAATTTAGAAATTTGAAGAACCGCGTGGACGTCTGGGTGTGTAAATGGGCCATTTTCCTTTTATTTGATTGTCCGATATGTAGTCACTGAACATTTAAAGAAAGTTTCAATTACATCACTAAATTTGTTTTATGTCAATTGGGTCACTGAACTTTAAATTAATTTTTAATTTTCATCCCTTTGTCAAAATCCATAACCTAACGTCTCTCATATTAGGGAAAATTAAGGCTGGACTCTCCAACCTATCGTGTGGTGTGACTCTCCAACAAATATGTGAGTTTGGGCCCTAAAGTACATGTGATTTATGATTGAATGCCTTTCAACTTTAAG